TCACAAAACTATGGCATTTTTGCATTTTCAAGACAATATGTCGTCTATTAGTGACACTTTATCACAAAGTGTCACTGACGAAGTGTCACTATAAGACAGTTTTCTACTAGTGTGCCTATGCATGTATATGTTTTATACGGTGTACTATATTTACTTATCACTAATATTCTTAATGATTTTTCTTAAATCAATAGTGGTATCCCACTACTTTATTTTGTGAATTATTATTTTTACAGATCTTTATATTTATAAACTTATACAGTTGCCGTTAGCTAGATACCTGACAACTACACACATTACACACAGCTTGTAAAAAATTATTCCTATTATTCCATTTACTTAAAGCAACATGAAGTTATGTTTTTCATTGTCTATGTGTGTACACTTTTACATTTTTTTACTTACCACTAATCTTGACAAAATTTACACAAATTTCAAACATAACATAATAGAGGTTTTTATGTTGTAGAAAGGTTAAATTTATGTTGTTATTTTAACTCATCTTGATTAAAATTTATTACCTTCCTTTCGGAAAAAAATCCATTTTATTTTGGAGTACCCCAAAATGTTCTTCTAACTCCTTCATAAATACTAACTATTTTTGTGTGGTTGATGTGTTAGGAATAGTTTTGAACAAAAAATTAATAAACTCAAAATTAATTTAGAATCGGAAAATACCATCAGTATCATCTTATAATTGTATATTATTTTCTAAAAGCACTTTTTTATTTATTATTACCATAACCATTCTTCTTATTCATCTCTCATATGGTGTTCTTAAAGTCACTTTTGTACCGTAATTATCAAAGAACCATCCAAAAATATGATGTTAGAAAAAAATTAAAATATCAATACCTATAAACTACTTACAAAGTTAATGACCTTTAAGTTTATACTGGAATTAATGTTGGTTTTATTATTTACTTTAACTGATTATTCTTTACTAGGTTTTAAATATTGTTGATTAATTATAGAGTTCATTAAATACTGGCTAAAGGGTCAAGTAGGCCCCTGTACCTGTTCGAAATGCTCAATTCGCACCCCAAACTCAAAAAAGCTCCAATTCACCCCCTGAACTCGTCAAAAAAGTTCAAATCCCATTTTTTGCAGGTGGGTTTCCGGTCATTGCCACGTCACCCGGTTAGATGTCAATCGTGCATCCCACGTGGAAATCTAAGGGGTCAAATAGACCCCTGAACCCGACAAAGTTGTTCAATTTACCCCCTAAACTGTTAAAAAGTATCCAAATTGCCATTAAAAAATAAAAAATAAAAAATAGAAAATGTAAATATAAACTATATACAAGTTCATAATATAAAATTAATATATGAGTCTATTTATAATATGACAATAAATTATTTATATTTTAGAGTACATTTAATATTTTAAATATTTATGAGTCGATTTATAATATGACAAAATATTAAAAAAAATTAATATTAATTTATAAAAAATGTATGGTTGAATTTTTTTTAATGTATTTAAAATATCAAAATATTTTAAATGAATTTTTTTTTTGTTTTATGTGAATTTACCGCAAAAAATAAAGATATATTTATAGTAAATTCATATAAAATAAACTAAAAGAAATTCATTAAAACTATTTTCATATTTTAATATGTTTTAGATTTATATGTAAAATTACACACACACATGCATATATGTATATATACTTCACATTATTTTATTATAGAATCATATACTACATACTATACTTCATACTAATTATATTTAACATAAAAATTTTGTACTATATAAAAATTATAATATGTAAATAGCTAGGGACTACTACATTTTTATAATATGTATTTAAAAAATAAGTACCTTCATTATGTCTATATATATATATATATATATATATATATATATATATAATTTACCCTGAAATATAAAAATTGTCTTATTATATTATAAATAGACATCTATGTTTTATATTATGAACTTGTATATCATTTTATTTTATTTTTTCTCTATTTTTTAATTTCATATATTTAATAGCAATTTGGACACTTTTCAACGGTTGAAGGGGTAAATTGAACAACTTTGTCGGGTTCAGGGGTCTATTTGACCTCTTAGATTTCCATGTGGGATGCACGGTTGGCATCTAACCGGCTGATGTGGCGATGACCGGAATTTTACCTGCAAAAAAATGGGATTTGAACTTTTTTGGCGAGTACATGGAGTGATTTGGAGCTTTTTGAGTTCGGGGTGCGAATTGAGCATTCCGAACAGGTACAGGGACCTATTTGACCCTTTAGCCTTAAATACTTCAATATATAATGTGATTTTGTTGGAGGAGAAATAAAATATTTCGAATCCCATCATACAATCTTTATATGTATAAAGATATATGTTTGATCCCAACCGTCGCATCAGTTTAAATCAAATGACGTTTTTTATTTAAAAAAACTAAAAAAACGAAACCGACCGAAACAAACCAATCAAACCATGGTTTCAAGTTTTGAAATATAAAATCGAAACGAAACTGAACCATTCTTTTTTACATTAGTTTCGTATTTGTTTTTTTGTCAAAAATGAACTGAAAAAGTCGAACATGCCCCTAGTGAATATATATATGAAGGCCAGTGTGGTTGTGTGGAGATTTGAGAAAGCAGTAGGAAGTGGCTCAAGTAGATGATAAAAATGTCACGAGTGGAGGAAGGAAAGATAGAAGGTGATCAAACTATGATGGAGCTAAAGTTGGAAGCGACAAAGACGGGATTGGGGTGGGTTCAGGGTTACATGCCCGCCTAGAAGCTCGAAGAGACAAAGACTCGATCAATTTTAATTTCGACATTGTTTTTCTGTAATTTTTCTTTTATTTTTATTCTAACTTCATTCTGTTATGTATTTGGAGTCTTTGTTTGGGACAATTGGGTGTTTTAATGGCCGGGTAGCGTTTAGGGTCTAGGTTTGAGGTGAGTTGGGGAAATAAGCAATAATTTTGATCATTATAAATTTATTATTGCATGTCTCATGATTAACAAATCAATTTGCTCTTTTATGAATGAATAACTCTCCTTCGAAATGATAAAAAAAACTCTCCTTCGAATAATAAAGCCTGCGATCGAGTTTGAGTACCTATCTATTGTTTTATACAGTAAAACTCAGTTGTTAAGCGCTGATGTGTCATTCAATAATTGGTTAATAAATATAATATTTAACATCACATATATATCATTAAATTTAATAATCCATAAGGAGAAAAATAGTAAAAGGAAACTCCCAAAGTAGGACTCCACCGGGAGAAAAAACAATAAAGTGAAACTTTGTTACCGTGAGATTCTTCTAGACTTATTATTTAATTCAAAGTTTAAGATAAATACTAAACAAACTAATCTCGATGAGAAATTATTTGTCTGTGGAACTATATGAGGCTTTAATTTGGGACTCCCATATCAAAGCGGGGCTCTTCTAGGATTATTAAGTAACTTGAAGTCTTATATAAATACTACATACATATTAATCATATAATCCATTGGTAAAGTACATTTTTTTGAATAGTTTTCATAGTGAAAACAGAGTTGATAAATGCAAGACACGTTAATCACTCACTACGATAATCAGATAATGTTCGTCAGCCAACAAAGCGAGCTTATTTCATATGAGCGACTTTTATGCGACAAAAAGTACCATTAAAGCAACCTACATTTTATTTTAATTTTAAACTCTTTAGTATTAATTTTTGTAATGGTAATCAAAATTATTTTTTTCCTTTTTTTCCAGAGCTCATTAGTTCTTAAATTCTTATAGCTCGGTACTACTTAAGACCTAAACAAATCTCGCAATTAAGAGAATTATGTCACAATAACTGCTCCCCCTTCTCAAGAAATTTGTTAGGCAAGATTCATATAAAACTACAGATGTATACAAAAAAATCGTAAAAATGTACTCGCTGAAATAAGTAGTCTACAAGGTTTTAGAAAAGAATTCAAGATCCTTCTAATCCTGATTATTAATCTCTTCATCACCTAAATAAAAAAGGATTAATAGTAGTAATATTATAAATAAGCAAATTAACCGTGAAAACATATAATAATTTATCTATCATATGTAGGATTAACTACATTTTTAGTCCCTTTGAATACGACACATTTTGTTTTAGATTCCTGCAGTTTTTTCATCCCTGATAAATGCACTGTACTATTTTCTTTTTAGCTCAACACTAACTCTGGGACCACTCGATTTAGAAAAAAAGTAATGCAAGTCGCATAAATCTACCACAAACTTTTAACCTTATCGTTTGCAGTTTTTAGAGTAATATGAGAGTCAAAACAACTTGGTTTTAAAATAGATTTTAACGACCTTCTAAAAAATAAAATCACGTATTTGTGGTCAAGAGAAGACTTATAAGTCGGGGTGTTTTATATCTATCATTTAAATCCATATCAACGTGATGTTAGCGGGGCATGCCTCGGGTGTTACAGTAGTCTACTTGTATATTTGTGTGATCTCTACATTTTTAAATAACCATTTTACAATTAAAAAAAGGAGAAAGTATTTTAATTTTTAAAGTATTTCTTTGAAACTAAAATCAATGATACAAAGGTAAATATTTCTTCCGTGCTTCCCAGTGAAATATTTACCAAACTAGAGTTTTGGCATAAAAGAAAGTACTAGAGATATTGAATAATAACAAAAATATAAAGATAAAATAAAATGTAGAAAAAGGCTACATATCTTGTAGTCTGATAACATCACTGTGACTCTCAAGAAGAAAGTTACATGTCCGAATTTCATTCCAATTCAAGGATGTTGGTGTTAACATATACAGAGTAATAAATATTCTACTCCCCCGTTCTGCTAAGATTGTCTCACTTTTCTTTTTCGAAAAATTTCACTAAGATCGTCTCATACCAAATTTGCTAAAATTTGTGGGGCTCTTTTAAATATTTTTTACTTAATTCTTACTTTATCAGTTCAATATCAACAATATAAATTCATTTTTCTTTAATAAACGTACCATTCCCTCATCCCAATGTTAATTGTTAGTGAGACTGAAGTAATACTACCCTAATAGTGTGGCATATAAGCTTTCCCCAAAAAATAGAAAAGGTAAAATTATGAATTGAATATTTTTGAAAGAAAATATACCAAACCAGCCGGTCTCAATCAATGGCGAGGACCGCAGATAACATGATGACAATTGAACGTTAGTGTGGTACGGAGTGATTTGGAGTCGGTTGATATACTGGAGAGAGTATAGAGGGTGATACTGATTACTGATACATCACAAACTGGGTCGGGCTCCTACTTACAGAGAGAAGAGAGAAGTCTTCGGAATCTAGAACCCATATAAATTTGAGGTAACAATTGTTGATACCCAACAAAAGCAAACCAAATTGATTTTTTATGTGATCTTCCTAGCTTAAAAGTGCTGTCGCTTTGCTATCTTGCTCTGTTAATACATTCATTTACCCTCTCCTATTTCTGCTTCATTCATAATCTATGACCTACGATTTGTTCGAGGCATAGGCGTAAAATCGGAAAAGGTTTGTCACGGCTATTGTGGTGGTGGAGGGGTTGTTCATGTTAGTAAGGGTTCATTTCTGTGGTATTTTTGCTGATATATGTAAATGGTATGAATGATGAGACTTTGACCCTCATATTTCTCCACTCGCACACTCTTTTCGGAAGTCTTTCTGTGCAAAACTGGGGTAATGGCCTTCATACTAAGGTCCGTCCAGCATAAGTTTCTGGTTGGGTACAGTGTCAATTGATCCAGTAATGAGTGGCTTTGGTTTTTTTCTCAACTTTGTGCAGTTGAGCAACACTTAGAGGCTTTTAATTTGCAGGGTGTCAATGGCCGTGCTTCAATCTCACTTGTAAATCATAATTTCTTTTATCTGCAGGAGGAATATTCAATTGTTCTAACATCCTTATAAGCTTATCTCAGTTTTATTTGGAGGATATGAATTTTGCCGGCCCTTCTGTAGGTTCTGGTTAGTATTTTATGATCATGGGTATTTCACTTCATACTTTTAGCTAAGAATCGCTGATGAAAGTAACTTTAGCTGGATCCTGTATAATTACTAGTCTCACTAGTCATTAGTTGAGTAGTCTAGCATGTTTGATCCGGTTTTTCATATGTTATGTTTCTGGTACTTCTTACCCTTTGGCAATAGCATTAAAAAATGTCTGTTCAAAGGGGAAAGGAAAACATCTATATGTCCTTTTCCAGTTGTCTTAATTCTTGGAGGCATGGTGAGGTAGAAATATAAGTGAAACATTAGGAAAAGTCTCTACATTTCCATCTTATTTTCATGGTGAATACTAGAGAATTTGGTGGTCACTAGTAACATGAGATTCTATTAAAATATACTCCCTCCGTCCCCTTTTAAATGCCCCGTTTTACCATATTGGGATGTCCCTATTTAATTGCCCCATACCTTATTTGGTAAACTTTGTGTGGCTCAAAATCATTCTTACTTTATTCTTACTTTATCAATTAATATCAACCACACAAACTCACTTTTCTTAAAACCCGTGCCACCATCTCCCGTCCCATTTAAAAGGGGACGGAGGGAGTACTAATTAGTTAATCTGTAAATGAAAGGGAGATCCTAATAAAAAGAAGAAGTGACTTCCACAATTTTATGTCTGTATTTTTTGCACATTATTAATTTATTCATACATAATTCATCATTTACTGGACTATACTTTGAACTCCCTACAGCTAGTAGAGCTGTTCAAAGATCCTTCAACTTTGGAAAGACTTATGTGGTGAAACCCAAAGGTAAACACCAGGCAACGGTAGTTTGGCTGCATGGACTTGGAGATAATGGTTCTAGGTACTCCCATCCATTGTCTTTTTGTGGGTGTCAATGAGATAATCTAATAGCTTGTGTGTGCATACCCTGCTTGTGACTCTTCCTTAAAGACTCTTGTGCTCAGTGTGCCATGGTAAATGGATGTATCTTCTATGAACCTTCTTGTCTTGTTTTGAAGGATAACAAATCCATATTCTCGCTCTGAATTCCAAAATCAGTATAAATTCTACTGGTTCTTGTGTAAGGTATACACATTAAGTTCCCATCTTCATCCAAGTGGAGAAGGCCCCATATTGTGTCAAGTTCTCTACATATTGTATCCCAGCTGTGAACTTGTCAGTTAGACACTGAATTTTCTCTTCATCCACCCAAGCTGCCTGGGCTTGATTATTAATGCCGTCTTAATCACAATATTTGCTTTTATTTTCATATTTGACAGCTGGTCCAGTCTTTTGGATACCCTCCCTCTTCCAAACGTAAGGATTTGTGCCATAGATGTACTCACATATACCTATGGGTGGAAAGTTTGACATTCTGATTTTTGTTTTTCCAATTCAATAATTTTATGCAGATTAAGTGGATCTGTCCAACAGCCCCTCAGCTACCAATATCTTTATTTGGAGGCTTTCCTTCAAATGCTTGTAAATTGTTCTGCTATTTCTGGTGTTACATTTCATTACTATAAGCTATTTCATGCAATTAAGCCGTGGTTATACAGCTATAAATGTGTTAGGAGAGAAAATATTGGAACTGAAAGTAACATATAACATTTAGGATGTTTTTATTTGGGCTGGAATTTTCTGGTCTGGTCCGGTAAATGTGTTAGGAGAGAAAATATTGGAACTTAGTAACATATAACATTTAGGATGTTTTTACTTGGACTGGAATTTTCTGGTCTTTGTGTATTTTATAACTGTCCAAGTCTGTTTGATTTGGTCTGAGACTGAAAACAGTCCAAGTAAAAACATTCTTAACCTGTCTATTTGTAATCACTAATCAACAAATGCTTATCTTGGTTTAAACAGGGTTCGATGTGAATGAACTTTCCGAAGATGCAATTGATGATATAGAGGGCCTGGATATTTCCTCATCATATGTGGCAAGCTTGTTGGCAACAGAGCCTCCTGACAGTCAGTTCATCTTTTTCTTTTCGATTTTTTCTCTAAACCATGTATACTACTAAAGGATTTTTCATGGTTTGGAATTTGTTGTTCTAATTGAGTTTGGTTTTTCTGTCCTAGGGTACTAGAATTACAAACATGTTTTTCCTATTTTATATCTTATCCTGAGTAATTCAGACATTTACTCCCTATTCATACGGCTCTAGCCACTTTCTTGCTATAGTGCCTATTTGGTTTAAGCTAGTGTTTCTCAAAGTATTAAGCAAATGCCTTATCTATTCAATTATCTATTTTACTTTAAGAAGCGACTTGGAGCACATTTCGATCTCCAATTTTTTAATGTGTACATTTTGAACTCTTTCAGGGTTAGTGGTATTACAAACATTAGCTTAGCCAAAATTGCACCCCTCCCTAACCAAGTAATGCTAGGGGTACATTAAGTGTAGATATTCTAGGTAGACATTTCTATGTGGCACACATTCATTGGGTGATGACTGATCAGACATGGGATCATCACTCAATGAGTGTCTCACATAGGAACGTCTCCCTAGCATGATGCTTCCCTAGTATGCCCTAGTTCTTGTTGAATTCCGCCATATACTAAGTTCATCTTTTTCTTTTTGGCCATTGCAGTCAAACTTGCTGTTGGAGGCTTTAGCATGGGCGCTGCAATATCCCTTCACTGTGCAACATGTTACGCTGTTGGGAAATTTGAGAATGGGAACCCATTCAAATCCAACTTAAGTGCAGTAGTTGGCTTAAGTGGCTGGCTTCCCTGTGCCAAGTTTGCACCTTTCTCAGTGTCTCCATATTACAAGCACTTCCTCATATACATACATTCATGCGCGTGCACACACACACACATATAATTTGACATGTTATTTTGTTGATAGCCTCTATATTATTCTTGCAGGACTCTAAGCAACAAATTAGGAGGGATTGAAGAGGCTGCAAGACGTGCCGCTTCACTGCCTATCCTGCTATGTCATGGCAAAGGTATATATTTATGGGAAGTGGTTTGAGATCTTCATCATTAATGAAAACAATAGATCCTAGTTCCAAAATATACTGGCATTAAGAGTTACTACTAGTTGTAACTTTTGTCCATGCAACTTAATGCAGGAGATGATGTCGTTGCTTACACATATGGTGAGAAGTCATCACACAAGCTGAGTTCAACTGGGTTTCACGATGTCACTTTCAAATCATACAAAAGGTACGGTTTGTATACAGTTGATTAATCGCACTTGTGAGATCTGTTACACATTTAGAAGCTTTCTTTGATTGATGACAGCCTTGGGCACTACACTGTCCCAGAGGAGATGGATGAAGTTTGTGCTTGGTTAACCTTGAAACTGGGGCTTGAAGGATAATTGTGATCTTGCTGTGTTAACTTTGGCTGTTCCTAAAAGGGCAAGATGGTAATGTGAAAGCTTGTGTCACAAATGTTTTTTTCAGTTTCCAATATGGCGGGCGATGTGTGCCTTGTAATGGATTTGAGATTCTACATATTTGATTTTAGAGAGCGAGTCCCATTGGTAATAGCCCTATTTTGCATATTCTGTTTATGAGCAGAATAATATGAATAAGTAGCGTCTTGAACTTCAAAATTGGGCTGGAATGGATTTTACCATTCATTTTTCTTTTATGGCACTTTTTATGAACATACAAAATAAAAGTATGTGACATTCTTTTGAGTTTTAAAAAAAAGTGACCAAGTATGAATAAAGTTCCGCTGATTTTTTCAGATTTTTTGGGTACAAGCCCATAATCTGCCAATGGTGTTTCTGACCCTAAAAGTAGTACAGGGAATTTGGAATTTTATATGAAAATTTCTTAAAGTTGATGATAATCCGTTTGCTGGAACGTGAGTTGCATATTTAAGGATTATGGTTTGACCTTGACTAGATATTGGGAAGCCTTTGAAAAGTAGAATGAAAAATAGAAAATGGATTAATGGAATGTGGAATGATTTTGGGTGAATTTTAAATACTCGAAACAAGGAAAAAGGGTCAAATAAGTCCTTAACTATTTCAAACAGATCACCCAAACTCATGTACTTTAAAAAGGGTCAAATAAATTTGTCTGGTGGCAAAAAGCAGTCATTTAGACCAAAATGACCGGACAGTGACTGCCTTTAGCAGGTCAGTTTGTTACATGTTACTGTTTAATTGAATTTCATTTTCCCTTTCCTTTTTATTCCTTTTTCTTTGTTTTTGTCTTTCTCGTAGTTTACCTGTCCTGTTCATCTTCTACCCACATCAGACCTCTTTCTCATTTTTTATTTTCGTATTTCTCTTGCTTTTAGTTTTTCTGATCCACCAGCAATGTGTTCCTTCTTTTATTTTCTCTTTCTTTTTTCCTTAACTTTTTAACTCACTTCTTGTTACTTTGCTCCTCTTCTACTGTTCTACACTTCTACCCTGCATCACTTGTATTTCTCTTTTTGCTCTTCTATTCTACAAATCAAATCTAAACCCTAAGTTTCAAGAGATTTATTCCTTTATTTGTTTCAATTAGTTTGCATTTCCTGTTATAATTTTATATGTTATGTATGCCAATTTTTATTATTCCAGGTAGTTTAATCTATTCTTTAGCCATTTAACCCACTAATGTTCGTCCAGTAACTAGTATTGAATTGAAAAAGTATTTGGATTCCGTGTCAAAGAAACAACTTGTAAGAAAGCTATGGCGGAAAGAAAAACTCAGAAAAGAAAGAAGAAAAGAAAGAAGAAAGTGAGAAGGGTAAAAAAAGACAAAATAAAGAAACAAATGACATGTGTATAAAAAAGGATGACATGGATTAATTGGATGTGTTAAAATTGTCACCGTTACTTTTACCTGCTAAATCAGGTCATGTGACTCAAATGATTGTTTTGTACTAGTAGAGGGATTTATCTGACTGATTTTAAAGTATATGGGTCTAGGTGATGTATTCTAATTAGTAGGAGGCTTATTTGACCCTTTTTCCCTCCAAACAAAAGCTAAAAGTTAGAAAGTTTTTCAGTGAAAACACTATCGCTCCCAAGTCCCAACTCAAGATCATGTGTAGGATAATAACCTCATGCTTGCGTAGCTGGCGCGAAGCATAGGCAATCACCCTCCAGTCTACATCAGAGTACATCCAAGTTAGGGATGGACCCGGGCCGGTCCGGTTCCGGTTCCGGGCCGGGCCCGGGCGGGCTTTTTTTCGGGTTACATGGGCCCGGAACCGGCCCGGGTTGATACCGGGTCCGGGCCTAACCGGGCCGGGCCGGGCCGGGCCCGGTTCAATGTTTTTTTTTTTTTTTTTTTTACTTTCTTGTTATCTCCCTACCCCCCCCCCCACCCCCACGCCCCAAACCTCCTTAAAACACCCAGCCCTACCCTAGGAAAAGAAAAAAATTGAAAAAACCAAAAAAAAAAAAAAAATGAACCGGGCCCGGCCCGAACCGCCCGGGCCGGTTCAACAAAAATAGGGCCCGGAACCGGCCCGCCCGACCCGCCAACACGGGCTAAAAGCCCGGAACCGGCCAACCGGGCCCGGTCCGGCCCGGGCCCGCACAGTAGCGGGCCGGTCCGGTTCCGGGCCGGTTCGGCCCGGCCCAGTCCATCCCTAATCCAAGTCCTTGGATGTTGGCATCATTGTAAATATCATACCCCAAATCTTGCATTGGGGCAATGCTAATACTGGTGTCTCGGTCAACCTTTTCTTCAACTCCAGAAATCTTGTCTCGCACTTGTCATTCCACATGAACTTGACTTCTTTTCTGGTGAGCTTCGTAAGTGGAGACGCAAGTACTGAGAACTTCTCAACAAGCTTGCAATAGTACCTTGCCAACCCGAGGAAATTACACACCTCTTTCACGTTCTTGGGTCTACCAATTCTTGACTGCCTCGATCTTTGCATTTTCCGCATAAATACCCGAACTCGATACCACGTGTCCGAGAAAACCAATCTCTTTCAACTAAAACTCACACTTAGAGAACTTGGCGAAGAGATGCTTCCCTCTTAGTGTATTGAGTATGAGCCTCAAATTTCGTTTATGCCCCTCCTCATTCTTGGAATACACTAAAATGCTATCGATGAACACAATAACAAACCGGTCCTGGTATTCGTGGAATACCCGATTCATGAGGTCCATGAATGCCACAGGGGCATTGGTTAACCCAAACAACATCATGAGAAACTCATAGTGACCATACCTAGTGCGTAAATCACTCTTTGGTATGTCACTCTCCTTAATCTTTAGTTGACGACACCCCGACCTCAAGTTGATCTTCGAAATCATAGTAGCTCTCCATAGCTGATCAAACAAGTCATCAATCTTCAGAAACGGATACCAATTCTTGATTGTGACCTTGTTCAGTTGACGGTAATCGATACACATCCACATTGTGCCGTCCTTCACGAAGAGTACTGGTGCCCCACACGAAGAATGGCTCGGCCTGATGAACCTGGTGTCCAACAACTCTTGTAATTGACACTTTGACTCTTAAATCTCCACTGGTGCCGTCCAGTACGGTAGGATCGAGATGGGGTTGATCCCTAGTTCTACCTGAATCTCAAAATCAGTCTTTCTGTCTAGTGGGAGTCCTGATAGTTCTTCTGGATGGAAAGATGGCTGAACTCTGTGAGGATTTGAACCTTGTCCTCCCTGCATATTACGTAGGTTAGGTATGCCTGACATCCCTTTCTAATCAAACGCCTTTCTGACACGACTGCTATGATACACGGGCTGAACTTTTCTCTTTCACCCTCAAAGCGTAAGGTTCTCCCCTCACCATATTCGTGTTCCATCACTTTGGTATAGCAGTAGGCCTTTGCGCAGTGCTTTTTGAGCCAATTCATCTTGATGATTGTGTCAAACTCTAACATACTTAACGGTACACAATCCCCCGCTAAGCTATGCTCCCCTATCTTCACTCTAACATAGCGTTTAGTCATATTTGTATAATTTTCCAAGCAAGAATAGTTGTGCGCCAAGCACCACCCAAAGACTTGTGTTCAGCTACTTTCTCCATCTAGATTTCCTTATCTATATCTTATATACACTCACTGGACCCACATGATTTTTTATATTGATTCTCATCGAAAATGCATGTCACGCCCTGGAGCATCCGTGTCACGTAGACAACCGTCACACAATCTAACAAGGATGAGCACAGTCATCCTTAATAAATTGTACAAGACTTGTGAAAGATTCACACACCAATCTGGTCAGTAAACACATATAAGTAACATCAATATTAAATCAAAAAAAGTGTGGAATACAACTGTTTGAAATTAGGCCACACGTGAAAATCATTGGCACGCATGCTCCAAAATGGTTACAAAACATTAATTTAGAAATATCCATGAGCAATTACAATATTTGAAAGTAGGAAAAAGAAGCGAGAACCATGTCTTCCATTAGATGATCATCCGAACAGTAGTGCAGGAAGCAGACTTTAGTTTTGACCTGTAAAAATAGTGAGGGCCCCCGAAGGAGTCAGTATTGCACAGAAAGAAGTACCAGTGACATGCAGCCTTTATAACCAATAACTAATGTTTCAAGTATACGACCCAAACATAGGATGATACACACACATGTATAAGGGCATAGTCTACACTACCCCAACCACAATATACATAATACCCCTAGTATATACTTGTAAAATATTTGACCCGCAAGTCATTTTCTTTAATCAAAACAACAGAAGGATTTAGTCCTTAGACCTCTCACCGTTTCCCTTAAAATAAACTCCGGATATGTAGCCCGCATGCTCTCTCCTATATGTGTACCTATTAAATGTTATACTGATCTTATCTGGCCCTGAGTCACCCTCCCGTACCCATAAGGGTTATATTGGACTTTCCTGATCTTGGGTTTGACTAATCCATACTAGAAGTGTTAAGTTGGACTTTCATGATCCTGAGTTTGAATGCCCATACTAGGAGTAGGGGTGAACAAAAGTACTGAACCGGCATGGTACCGAACCGGTATGGTACGAGACCGAAAAATGGGGTTCGAAACGGAGTTCAAAATTTTCATCCCGAACCGAACCGTACCGGTTCCAAACAATGCCATGACCGGTTCTAATAAAATGAGAACCGGTACCAGACCGAACTGGACCGAAGTATGATTAAACATTATTATTTTTTAGTAATAAGCGGTCACAGTTTAACATGTTTGACTTAAAAAATCAAACTGTGACTTCAATAAAGGGATGAAGTTAATTATGTAATATGAAAATTGATGAATTGTGTGGATTTTTGGAGGATGACTAGATTTTAATTTTCTCTTAAACACTTGGAAAAAGGCAACATTGTTTGGTATTGGTATGGCATGACACCATCCCATTTGAAAATGTAACCATACCGAACGGGTTTAGGTCTAAGACCGAACCGAACTAGGAGTTTGACCGGAGCGGACCGTGCCCACCCCTAACTAGGAGTTTTAAGTTGGACTTTTCTGGTCTTAGGTCACTCACCCATCCGAGTGTTGATGGGATTTTCCTAGTCCCGGGTCACTCACTCATCCCTATTCTATCATACGTTTTATCTAAGTATGACTAGCAATAGTATTCAACTTCACTGAACCCCTCCTGGTCAGGTAATAATTCACTAAGGATCATATGGGTTCACACCATGGCTGAAGTACTGGACCACATGTGGTTGGACCTTCAATTGGTCTTTCGGCTCGCCCATTGGGTAATTTGGGTCACCCATGGTACCTAGGTCGCAAGTCTGGACTTTGGGTTTTCAAAAGGTCCAATTTTTTTTTTAAAAACATGTGGGTTTTTTGAAAAGAAACAAGCTTTTCGAAAATGGGCAGTT